ATCAACAATCAAGGACTCTTATGATGTCAAGAAAGTGGCACAACGTTCTCTTAATAAAAGACACGTGAGCTCAAAATAATGAATGATGACAAAATTTTAATCATTTTTTTTAGCTTAAGAAGAGCCATTGGAAGCTGCCTAAAACTGAAGTTTCATTTGCAACAACAAACCAAACACATTTCCTTCCACCCCCTCCCTCATTCAAACCACCAGCTCCAGTATATCCATCAAAAACTTAAACAATTGTAATAAAAAAACTAAAATAATAATAATATGAAACTACTCTATAGCTGTGTAATACAAACTATCATAGCAAAAATCAAAAATAAAATCTGTATTAAAATGGGGGCAAGGATAATGCATGGTATGTACAAAAGTCTGTATCGTTTGTTTCTGCTAGTCGTCAGGAGTATCAGTGACCAATGGACATATGTACTCAGAGTGCTTCACTCCCAATGAATATGCTGGAGCAGCTCTTCTGTTGAGTGTCACCCTCTCAGGACAGTGTGCTCCTGGGCCTGGTATTCTTGTAGCATCTATTCAATAGCATAAAAACACATTATTAATGATTGTAGTATCCTTACCAGTTGGCATGTAGTTTCTGCTCTGCATTGAGTAATTAGGAGCTTTTCTTTGCGTGATCTCAGCACTGGTTGTGTTGTATCTAGCAGGACCTGGAGTTTTGGCATAATCCGTATCAAAGCCTCCAAGTTTAGACCGTGGGGCCATTGAGTAGCAAGCAGAGGATGTACGGTTGGGTACTTTATCACCAAGCATTGAGGGAAGAGTGTAGGAGGCTGGGGAAGGATTAGCATCTCCTATACAAAAAGAAAAATAATATACTTGTAATGAATGTTCATGCACATATTGAAGAGTATTTTAGCATGCATCAGTTAGCATCAGTTACTCTACACAATGAATGATAGTACATACTCTTCCTGTATCTTGTTCTTCCTCCCATTGAGTAAGCAGGTGGTCTATGGCGTGACGGATCAGCAAATTTCTCAGGACAGTGTGCCCCTGGTCCTGGTGTCTTGAAAGGCTCCAGCTCTTTGTGCCGACTGTGGAGTGAGTACTGGGCAGTCCCGTCCCTACCATACCTTGTCATCATTGGGTCAATGAGATAAGCAGGACCAGGCCCTATCTGCTTCTTAATGACTAACAGAGAGAAAGAGAGAGGGGGGATTGATGATTAATTTTTGCTAAAAAAAAACTTTTACTGACATGATGTTCCAAGTCTCAATCCAAAAGAGTATGCTGGGTGTAGTTTCCTAGATACATCGTGTGCTTGATATCCTGTCAAGTTAGGTAAGGTGTATCTTCCAGGGCCAGGACCTAAAGGTGAAGTAAATTAATATCATGTAACTGTAGCACCAAGTACCTCTTTCCATGGCTGCTATTCTAGGTTTCTCCATTTTAGTTTCAGCCATTTTTATCCTTCTTTATTCTTTTGCGCAGACACTGGATCACTGAGGACGATTAGATTTAAATACAAGCTCTAAGCTACAGCTAGTGTGACTGTAACTTGAGAACTTTAGCCGGTAAAGCCTGCGCGTGAAAAATCTGCAAGGATTCCAGCCCCACCCGACAACCAAATATGGAAGAGACCCACCCATCAATGAATAGATAATTAGATTCATCATAATGAATTATAACCAATGAATATTAATTAGAAATAAAATGGCGGCCATTATGCAAGTAAGAAAGTCCATATTTTCTTCTTTATTTCTTATATTCTTAGTGTAGAAAAATCCACCGAGTCTTCTCTCCATTAATAAATTATTCAAGACCATCAAACCAACCAATGACAGCAACCAACTACTGCACAGCA